AAAAACATTTCTAATCCTTGGACTCAGAGTACTAAATCACAAATGTAAGGATTCCCCATCAGTCTGGATTAGGTTAGTGATTTTTCCCCCCTACTTCGATTTTTTTTTCCCCAAAAAGTAGACTTTTGAAATGTTAGTTTTCATGTTTTTCTGATTTGGGGCTCTTTTGTTTCTGCTTTTAAATTTTTAGTTCCCTTCCTTGTGCCTACTCACAGCTCATGTTTTCTGTTTTGTGTTGTTTTTTTTAATTAGGTGTTTAAATGTCTTCAAAATTCATTTGTACAGTTTTAGGTTTAAGTATTGAAAGTATTAAAGCATTAAGACTTTTGGGAAAAAAAAAAAGGGATTCCCATCAGGAGATAGGCATATAGATGCCCAAGCCCTGCTTTGCAGAGAGCTAAGTTCTGCCTGTTCCTGCTCATCTCCTGTCTGCCTCAGCACTCTCTCCTGAGGGGTGCCAGGACTCCTAGTGGGAAGTCCTATAGCCCCTATCTTGTTTTGCTAAGAGGATTTCTTTGCAACCCTTCCCCTTTTAGGTTGTATTAGTCCATTTCTGTTGCTTTTAACAGAATACCTGAAACCGGGTAATTTATAAAGAAATGAAATTTATTTCTTACAGTTTTGGAAGCTGGGAAGTCCAAAGTCCAGGGAACACATCTGGTGAAGACTTTCTATAGCGATGCAGGATGTCACATGGCAAGAATGGGCTGAGCAAGAGAGATCTAACCTCGTCACTTGCTTTCCTTATAAAGCCATCAGAACTACACCCGTTAATCCATGAATGGATCAATCCATTTACCAGCGCATATTCCTCACAATCTAATCACCTTTTAAAGGCCCTACCTTTCAAATGTCATAATTGGATTTCTCACCATCTTAACACTGTTACAATGGAGATGAAGTTTCCAGTGCGTGAACTTTTTAGGGACACATTTAACTCATAGCACAGGTATTTGGGGGAAATGAAAAGTAGCTTACCCAGTTTTTGCAATATTATGTCAACTCTTGAAGTCTTCAGTTAGTGAAAAAACCCTTTGACTTTAGAACTAGTTGTTAAACTGTGTTGGATATAGAGAAGTGACACTTACATGGTGATCTTGTTTCGAAGCTGCTGGCACCATTTTGTGATGGGAAGAAAATGAGAGGAAATATGGTTTCTTGTTACCTCTAGATGGAAAGGATTTTCACTCACCCCCAATAGCTGCGGCTTCCTGGGGTTTGTGGTTAAAAAAATAAAGCAGATCATTTTGATTTTTAGAATCTTAGAAGGAACTCTATTAACCACCTAGTGTCCATTAGGAGTCACAGTGACAGCTGAGGCGAGGCCCAAAGGAGTCTTTTTCTCCCCCCCAAATGGTTGTACATTTTTTTTTTTCCTTTTTGTCTTTTTTCGTGACCGGCAACGGATCGCAACCCTCNAAATGGTTGTACATTTTTTTTTTTTCCTTTTTGTCTTTTTTCGTGACCAGCAACGGATCGCAACCCTCAGTGTCGCGCCCGTACCGGACCGGGACCGGCAACGGGATCGCAACCCTCAGTGTTGCGCCCGCACCTCGCTTAGCCAGTGAGCGGGAACCGGTCTGTATGTGGGATCCGAATCCTCGGTGGGAGCGCCTGCCGCACTTCACAAGCGGCGCACTGTAGCAGTGCACCACCGGGCCGGCCCCTGGTTGTACATTTTAATATATGTGTTCTAACCTTTCATATATCGACATTAGTAATAACCATGATGACGATGATAACAGCAAAGATATGCTACTTCTTGTGTGCCAGGCACTGTTCTAAGCATTTACCATTTAGTTACTAATTTAATCCCTTAACAGTTTTAGGGATTAGTCAAAGGAGTACATTTTGAAAGGAGTTTATGTTGCTTCTGCTCCTTTTCCATGCTGCCTCATCTTTCACAATCTCTTCCCAGTTCCGTTCCTGTTCCTCCTTTCACCTTCTAACCCACATCCCATGGTAGAAGATGGAGGTAGTAACAGGGGATGCAGGTTCTTTCCCTTCTTGCTGTGGACTCTGGGTACCGTACAGCACTGGAAAAGTCAGCTCCCCAGTAGACTTGCACACTCCTGATGTTGTGCACTGTGGATTTTACTTGGGTTCATTCTGTCCTCCCCAATATCCAGAGCAAAGAGAAGAAAGCAGAGGACCCCTCTGAGGGTCTAGTTCAGGGGTCACACACCCAGATGCTAGCAGGGCCAGGCAGCCTTGGTAAGTGAAGTGTGACTAAGGTTAAAACACAAATGTGCTTTCAGTTTGCACACTGAACATGTAAGAAAAGAGCACGCTTCCGTCACGAGATATGCTCTCTCCCATTTTTCTCAAAACACCTGGATAGGTTTCATTTTCCCACTTTAGGTAGGAACAGAGAGAATTCTGTACTGAAAGAGAAAGAACAGCCCAAATGCAGCAATAATAGATGGCAACTGGCACTTGACTTTAGCAGGAAGGAGACAGAGTCACGAGATATGCTCTCTCCCATTTTTCTCAAAACACCTGGATAGGTTTCATTTTCCCACTTTAGGTAGGAACAGAGAGAATTCTGTACTGAAAGAGCAACAGCAGCCCAAATGCAGCAATAATAGATGGCAACTGGCACTTGACTTTAGCAGGAAGGAGACAGAGAGGGTGGGGACTGTGGCAAACTGCAGTGCACATGTCCTGTCCATAGTGGGTAGCTCCTACTCAGCCCCAGAGGTACTAGATCTTCCAGTTTTCCAAGAGAAGCTGGAACCTGACTTTTTGTTTGGAAATCTTCCAATTTTTAAATGGTAACAAAGTTAAGAATAAAAACAAACAAAAAAACACTATGACCAAACAAAAGATTTGGCTACCAGTTTATGACTTTATTACATTATCCCAACGGGGTCCTATCCTTGAGTAAAGAAATATGCGACTGTTATTCGCAAAAGCACAGGGAAGATAGCTGCAGGCCAGATTGGTTTAAAACATCCTGGGGGTAGAAGGCCCAATACAGTTTATTCATCTTTAACATTTTAAGTCTGCCTAACACAGTGCCTTACGCGTGGTAAGAGCTCAACAAGATGAAGTTCTTGTATTCTGCTTATACACAACTTTGGCTTGTGTAGTTTTAGGTTATTCTCATTCTAGCTGGTCCTTACAGTTTACTGCTATCTGAACAACTTAGCCTCTGTGCTTCAATTCCAGATTCCTGGGACAGGGAATCCAGTTGGCTCTGATTGGTTAGACTGGTACATCCCTGGTTCAACCAGCTGTGTCTAAGGGAAGAAGGGTTGTTCAATATAAGACTTCCCCTTCCAGCCTAGGCATGGGTACACCAAGAAAGTACTCATGGACTGGGAAGCAATGGTGGGGATCTCTTAGTACATCTTCTTTGGATTCCCCCCCTGCCTGGCCCCATGGAGACCATTTCTGGTTTTCCACTTGGGTGTTTTTGTTGTTTCTGAGATGTACAGAGCCCTCAAATAGCTATTCCCTGCCTCTTGCATAGAAAACTTGCTTTCTCTAAAGTTCTGCTTATATTTCCCAGGATGCAGGCATTTCAGGACTTGGATTCTTCTCAGTCACTTCCAGCAGGCTCTGGCCCACTCTGGAGAAAAGTCCTATATCTAAACTGGGCACGTCCTTGGCAGGCTGGGGCACTATTAGAGAGGGAGCGATGAAAAAACGTGGTGTAAACTAAAAATATCAAACATATAAAGGTAGTTAGGCATGTTGAGGGGGTGTTTTCTTTAAAAATTACAGGTCAGCCTTTAAGGGATAGTCTAAGAAAAGAGGTTGAGGTGACACAACATTTTAATTCAGAGATCAGCAAGCCATATCCTTCTTGCCCAATGTGGCCTGCTGCTTTTGTAATGTTTTATTGAAACACAGCAACACTCATTCGTTTACCTATTATCTATGGCTAATTATTGCTCTACAGTCTCAGAGTTGAGTAATTGGGATGGAGACAGTATGGCCGGCAAAATCAAAAATATTGGCCACCTAGCCCTTTACAGAGAAAGTTTGCCAACCCCTGTTTTGGTCCAGTCATCAACGTACCTCCTTAGACTGAGAGCAACAGTTGCAGTTATATAAAGTTCTTGGGAAAAAGAAAATTGATATTTCAAAAAACAGTCCTAAGAGGAAGCTGAGTAATTCAAAATAGGAAATGTTCTGTGCTACTTTATCCAACCTAAATGTTTCGGTGGATTGATTGATGTTCCCCTGGTGTTTTTAGTTGTGCTATGCTGGACAAGAATGCCTTCATTTGGGTTTCTGAATGTATCTGTTATGAGCAAATGCTTCCTGCTGAGATAATTTCGGTAGATTTTTAACGCACCAATTTAGTTTATGTCTTCTAAGCAAGCCTCACTCTTACAGCTTAATTTTATTACTTTTCTGTTTTTAAGAGTAATATAAGTTGACTATTTAAAAAATTTGAAAATGCACAACAGAACAGAGAAGGAAAATTAAAATTGCCCATAATGGGTGTCCCCTCCCAGACATATACATATAGCTAATTAACACTAGATATTATGTATTAATAATCTTTTCACAAAATCAGAAACATATACCTACTATTTTGCAACACTTGAAAATTAATACATATTGAATTTTCTCCTATCGTTAAATATTTTTTGTAATGTAATTTTTCATTATTTGTGTAGTATTTTCATGTGCATTCCACCATTTACTTAATTTTTTGTTGCTGTCCATTTTGGTTGTTTCCAACTATTCATTATTCAAAAATAACATTATGTTCCTCTCTGATTATTTCCTGGGGATAAATTCCTGGGATAAGTATTGCTGGCTCAAGAAGTATGAGCATTTTGAAGGCTTTCAACACACATCACCAAATTGCCCTCCAGAAACATGTTGCCACTTTATACACGCACCAGGAGGGTATGGAAGCACCCAGTTTTTCATAGTAAATTAGAAAAGTTCCTGTATTTTTATTCAAAAGGTAGGCTGCATGTTGGGTTAGCCCACCATTATGTTGAGTGACTGTTATTTTGGCTTCTCTTTCCTTACAGGCTCCTCCTCCCAAACCACCTCGCCGCCAGGGAGGCTGGTTAGATGATTCCATGAAGGCTTCAAAGTGAGTACTAGCAGCTGGGCAGGGGCGCAGAGTGGGATGGGGACTTTGCTCCTGTGCTGTTGTTTTATTTTTTGTAATAGCTTTATTGAGATGTGATTCATATACCATACAATTCACTCATTTAAAGTGTACAACTTAATCATTCTTAATACATTCACAGAGTCGAGCGGTCATCACCACAATCAATTTTAAAGCATTTTTATCACCCCCTCCAAAGAAACCCTGTACCTGTTAGCAGTCACTTCCTTTGTCCTCCTCAATTTCCTCAGCCCTAGGAATCAACTTTCTATCTCTATGATTTGCCTATTCTGAACATTTTATGTACAGTCATGCATCGTTTAACGATGGGGATACTTTCTGAGAAATATGTCATTAGGTGATTTTATCGTTGTGCGAACATCATAGGGTATATTTACACAAATCAAGACAGTATAGCTACTATAGGGTGTATTTACACAAATCAAGACAGTATAGCTACTACACGCCTAGGCTATATAGTACAGCCATTATAATCTTATGGGACCACCATCATATGTGCAGTCCGTCATTGACTGAAATGTTGTAATAGGGCATATGTCTGTAAGGAATCATAGGTTATTTGGTCCTTTATGACTGGTTTCTCTTACTTGGCGTAAGGTTTACAAAGATCATCTACAATGTAGCATTCAGTGTTCTACTTAAAGTAATTTTGCAAACATAGTGAATTGCATGTTAGGAACTGCTGATGAACTCTGCAGTAAGTACCCCCCCACACACACAGATTATTTATTGATAAAGAGGAACAGTACAGAGGTTCTGTCACCCTGCCTAACTGTTATCTTGAGTTTACTTGTAAGCCAGTGCTGTAAGCTAATGTGAATATTGGTACTGTGACCATCCAGAGTATCTGATCAACCTATCCTCTTACTTCGGAGTTCCTGTGAAGAATAATCTAATGTCACAGTGCATGTGGCAGCACTTTCTACACTGCATGGGGCTCACAGTGTGGGGCTGTGACTGCAGATTCCATTCTCACCTAGCTGGGTGATTTTGGCCCAGGTGTTTATCATTGCTGAGCCCCTGGATAGACATGTAGAGGGTGGTGCAGGGACTGATGGCAATTATGTTCGTAACAGGAGTGTTGCTGTTGTTTTTAGCCCTCCCAGCCTTTCCACATTTTAGACCAGAGGCTGATCCCTGTGGTTCCATGTTGAGAGGTGCAGAGTGTGGTGGGTGACAGCCATAGGTTCTGGAGCCAGATTGCCTAGTTTTGAATCCTAACTGTTTCCCTTATTATCTCAGAGACTTGGAGCAAGTGATGTAACCTCTCTGGCGCCTCAGTTTTCTCATCTGTACAATGGCATTGAAAATAGTTCTTCAAAGGATGTTTGTGAGGATTAAATCACTTTATACGTGTAAAGTGCTTAGAAGAGAGAGAAGCATTTAGGAAGCACTCCATAGATGTTGGCTGTTGTTATAATAATGGTGACTGTCTTTCTCATCCCTATTCCATCCTTATATGTTGTTATTTAGATGTTGGCTGTTGTTATAATAATGGTGACTGTCTTTCTCATCCCTATTCCATCCTTATAGGTGGGCTTTGACCATACGAGTGTACTTCAAAAGTTTGAGGAAAAATAGAATTAAAAGATAATATGAATCTTTCCTTGAACTTTCTGAAGTACCTTCCTAGTCTTCTCATGGGCCTTCTGGCAGATGGTGACATTTATGAGTTGCAGGAGTTTTGGGATATTTGCAATGGCATAAATGCTTCCATATGAAGGGTCTATTTGGGAGAAGTAAAGCCAGGTCAAGAAAAGCAGGGTTATTTTAAATATCAGGAATTTTCATTAATCATGAGTTACTTCAAAGCCTTAAGCATAGGAATGTCAGAGTTCCAAAGATTTCGTATCAGAAGTGTTTTCTAAACCTTATGATTTAAGAATTGGACACGACTAGCAAATGATATCCTCTTAGGTTTCTGCTAGCATCTGAGAATGCTCATGACCTAGAGCAGAAATATGACTCTTGGGCCATTCAGGATGAGCATCTGTGTCTCTGGGATGGTTTCAGAAGACCTTGTCTTGACTAAAGAGAGAACGGTCCTCAAACTTCTTCCTCCCACATACCCTCTCTGTATTCCTCCCATCCTGACAAGGGCAGGATTTCCATGCTGATTACAGTGTGGCGATCAAGTCATCTCTCTTGTTTTACCCACAGGAATCAACATCACAATGAGTTTAAAACCATGGACATCTGATTCAGACATACCTGGGTTTGAATTCAGGTTTCAACACTTTAACTGGCTGTGTAAGCTTGGGAAAGTTACTTAACCCCTGTCACGTAGCAATAATAATACGTATTGCAAAGAGTTGCTCTGAGGCTTAGACATACAATGTAGGAAAAATACCCAGCATAATGCTAGTACCCAGTCAGCTGCTGCTATTTTTGTTAAAAATAACATATATGACTAACATTGGTGCCTAAGAAATAAGGTAATAATGTAATAATGTAGGTTTCTGTTAGTTCTGTGATTCTAAAACATGAAAGTGTCGTATAACATGTGTTCTAGAAAATGGTCTCTATGATATGGCACTGCTGGCTGTTGCCTTCAGCCACTTTTGTTAGCCTCCATGGTTTCAGCAATGCTGGAGAAGGCAGCTTCCAGACCAAACAGGTTTTGATTGCAGTTAGTCTTTGTGCTTCTTGAAATTTGATTCATTGCTTACTTATAGTTAACCTAGGCCAGTCTGACATAAAGAATACCATAGTAAGGCTGAGACTTTTTTTTTTTTNGTGAGGATTAAATCACTTTATACGTGTAAAGTGCTTAGAAGAGAGAGAAGCATTTAGGAAGCTGTTGTTATTTAGATGTTGGCTGTTGTTATAATAATGGTGACTGTCTTTCTCATCCCTATTCCATCCTTATAGGTGGGCTTTGACCATACGAGTGTACTTCAAAAGTTTGAGGAAAAATAGAATTAAAAGATAATATGAATCTTTCCTTGAACTTTCTGAAGTACCTTCCTAGTCTTCTCATGGGCCTTCTGGCAGATGGTGACATTTATGAGTTGCAGGAGTTTTGGGATATTTGCAATGGCATAAATGCTTCCATATGAAGGGTCTATTTGGGAGAAGTAAAGCCAGGTCAAGAAAAGCAGGGTTATTTTAAATATCAGGAATTTTCATTAATCATGAGTTACTTCAAAGCCTTAAGCATAGGAATGTCAGAGTTCCAAAGATTTCGTATCAGAAGTGTTTTCTAAACCTTATGATTTAAGAATTGGACACGACTAGCAAATGATATCCTCTTAGGTTTCTGCTAGCATCTGAGAATGCTCATGACCTAGAGCAGAAATATGACTCTTGGGCCATTCAGGATGAGCATCCGTGTCTCTGGGATGGTTTCAGAAGACCTTGTCTTGACTAAAGAGAGAACGGTCCTCAAACTTCTTCCTCCCACATACCCTCTCTGTATTCCTCCCATCCTGACAAGGGCAGGATTTCCATGCTGATTACAGTGTGGCGATCAAGTCATCTCTCTTGTTTTACCCACAGGAATCAACATCACAATGAGTTTAAAACCATGGACATCTGATTCAGACATACCTGGGTTTGAATTCAGGTTTCAACACTTTAACTGGCTGTGTAAGCTTGGGAAAGTTACTTAACCCCTGTCACGTAGCAATAATAATACGTATTGCAAAGAGTTGCTCTGAGGCTTAGACATACAATGTAGGAAAAATACCCAGCATAATGCTAGTACCCAGTCAGCTGCTGCTATTTTTGTTAAAAATAACATATATGACTAACATTGGTGCCTAAGAAATAAGGTAATAATGTAATAATGTAGGTTTCTGTTAGTTCTGTGATTCTAAAACATGAAAGTGTCGTATAACATGTGTTCTAGAAAATGGTCTCTATGATATGGCACTGCTGGCTGTTGCCTTCAGCCACTTTTGTTAGCCTCCATGGTTTCAGCAATGCTGGAGAAGGCAGCTTCCAGACCAAACAGGTTTTGATTGCAGTTAGTCTTTGTGCTTCTTGAAATTTGATTCATTGCTTACTTATAGTTAACCTAGGCCAGTCTGACATAAAGAATACCATAGTAAGGCTGAGACTTTTTTTTTTTTAAAGGATGACCAGTAAGGGGATCTCAACCCTTGGCCTGGTGTTGTCAGCACCACGCTCAGCCAGTGAGCAAACCGGCCATCCCTATATAGGATCCGAACCCGTGGCCTTGGTGTTATCAGCACCGCACTCTACCGAGTGAGCCACGGGCCGGCCCTGGGGCTGAGACTTTTTTTTAGCCTTTGCCAATAGACCCATCTTATGAGCAAAATAAGTGGAATCATAGATGCCTGTAAGTCAGAAGGAGCAAGTGCTGAATATCTTTTAGTTCAGGGAAAAAAAAAAACAACCCAGAATTTACTATGCCAGTGGGATGGCTAACTCTCACGTTTAACTACTTAAGATACATGTAGGAATAGTTTATTTTTTTCAATGGATAGATACTACCCTTGTTTAGAATTCCTTAAGCAATGGTTGCCTTGAAAATAGCACTATTAAAAATATTTTTTTTCCAATTCTTTCTACCCTGTCCTCGCACTTTATTCTCCCTCCCTCTACCCTCCATGTTCTCATGTGCCCACACACACACACACTTTTGTTTTCTAGAACCATTTGAAAGTAAGTTGTAGTCATTACACCCCTAAAAACTTCAGCATGCATCTCTCAAGATTAAGGATATTCTCCAAATAATCACAGTATCATGATCACATCTAAGACATTCATAGTGATTTAATAATACTTATTATATAGTTTATACTTAAATTTCCTTGTTTGTCACCAAATATCTTTTATAGCTCCAGGATACAATCAGAGTTCACACATTGCATTTAGTAATTCTGTCTCTTCAGTCTCTCTGGATCTAGAATAGTCCCTCCCCCGCCCCCCTTTGTTTTCTTCTCATCCTCCTAAGACTTTTCTGAGGAATCCAGGCTAGTTGTCTTGTACAATGT